GCCCGATGCGGGGCTCGATCCCAGGACCCTGGGATCATGACCTGAGCCGAAGGCAGACGCTTAACGACTGAGCCACCCAGGCGCCCCTATAATTACAAATAGTCTTAATGTTGTTCTGAAATTATATTAATTTTACTTGATTGATGGCTAAAGTTAGAACCTTAGAAACCCAGCGATGGCCTTAAAGAAAAATAACTGGTGAATGACAAAGCTTGTATTGAAACCAGTATTTTTAGCCTCTTGTCAAGCTCTAATTCTTAGTTCATTTCAGTAACGTATAATTTTGTATTACTTCAAACTTCCTTGTAATGAATAGTAAACTATCTTCAGGTTGTATAGTAGAAAAAACCTTGACAGTATTGCACACTTTATTAAATAACTACTGTTCCTGGTATGCTACTGCCTTTCTTTGCTTGAGATTAAAAATTAAAACATTTGATTAATACGTATAAGGTTGTGAGGAGGAAGGAAGCAATTAAAAAGTGCTTTTGTATTATCTTTCATAGTTTTTCTCTCCTGTGGGAGGATGGAACATAATGACATCATCTATATATTCTGGATAGTTTAAGAAACTCTGTTCAAAAGATCAATCATGACTGTTACCAAGGTTTTCAAGTATTTTGAGACCTCTAATAGTAATTTTTAGTTCTAAAACTTAAAGTGAAAATTAGAAAAAGAAAAGATTATCAATATGGTCAAAAGTAGGATTTTTGAACATAAATATACAGAAAAACCAACTGGAGTAGTTTTTGAAAAATGAAGGTTCTTAGTCTCCACCCTGAGTATTTTTTTTAATTTTTTTGAACAATTTTATTGCACTTCACACTCCTGGTATTTTAATGGTCTAGATTTAAGATGAAACTCAGGAATATGCATTTTAAACAGTCCAATAGACATTTGCTAGGTATTATCAAGGCACTTTTTCCAAAGTGGGTATACGACTTTATACACCTACCATTAACATATGAAAGGTCCGGTTGTCCCACATTCTCACCCAAACTAGATATTATTAGGCTTTTTAGTTTTAGTCAGTCTGGTGGGTGTAAAGTGATACCTTACTGTGGTTTTAATTTGCTTTTACTGGTGAGTAAGGGTGTTGAGTATCTTTACATATGCTTATTAGCCATCTGTATGTTGTCTTCTGAGAAGTGCCTGCCTGAGTCTTTTGCCTTTTTTTTTTTTTTTTTTTAAATCTGGTTGTGTCTACTGATTTGAAGGAGTTCTTATGTAATTTGCATAAGAGTACTTTCTCAGGTGGATGTATTCCAAATATCACATTGGGCTTTTCACTTTTAATAGTGTTTTATTGTGAACGGAATTTCTCAATTTTTATGAAAAGCAATTATTAATTTTCTTGTACTTTTTGTGCTCTTCAGAACAAATTTTTCTTGGACTGCATTTTGAGAAATGCTGAGACAAGAACCACTTTCTGGTTGACAGGAACTGTTTCCTGGTTGACAGGGAAAATAGAAGGTTTCTTTCTGAGTAATCCCCTAACATCTCTAGTTTTGTCAGCAGTTCTACCTCCTCTAGGAATCCCCCTGTTGGTCTCTTCTTTTCATAATATTAAATTTGGGGCTCTGAATTTTGTGTTCCTAATGTTAAGCGTATAGTTGCCTTTCTACTGCAGTAAATGCAGTGGACTGTAGCTAAGTTATTTCGATGACTTAGAGCCATGTTTCCCCAGTTTTTGTCCAGAAGTATCCTAGCCACAGAGGAAAGTACAGAGCTCCAGGGGCATCCAGAGTCCTGGCTAGACCTGAAGTAGCCACTGAAAGCAAAGGATGGTTCTTTGAACTCTTCTCCGTGTAGTTTTTAGGAATATAGTTTGCTTTCATTTGAAAGTAGTGTTGATTCTACCTTTTACTCCAAAATTTAGAGTGAACTTGAGGGGAGGCTGCAGAAGGCTGTACCACGTTTATTCAGCAACTTAAAGTGCCCCTGGTAGCCCTGGGCTTAGGGTTTTTATATATTGCCTTCACTATTCCATTTGCTTTACCAGCCCAGTGTAGTTAAGAAACTTGCACAGTAATTACTGGCAGAAGCAAAACAGTATTTCACTCTCGTTGCTCTGCTGTCTATACTATCCGGTCACAGAGTACTAAGGTCAAATCATGGGATTCTGTCTTGAAACAAGAGAAAAGAGCTGAATGAATAAATAAATACACAACAGCCTGAGAAAATGAAAAAGTATGTTTTTAGTGGACCAAGAATTTTGAGGAATTTCTGGAAAGGAAAAGCAGTTAGATACCCTAATTTTAGAAGTTAAGCATAAATTCAATTTGATCTTAGCTATTGGGGCAGTGCTAAAGAACATATAAGGAATATTAATATCTTTTCTGTTGGTTTATGTATTTGTAAAATGATTCTTTCTCAAAGGTGTTTATGATTTTTAAGTGTTCACTAATTTGTTCTAAGTAGTTTTGGTTACTTAAGTTTTTGTTACTTATGCATCCTTAAAATAGTCTATAATTAATTAGTCATTCTTGCTTTTTAGGACACCTTTTCCTTTGCTTGTAGTCGATGCTTTTGATTACCTTGGTTATCTAAAGTTAAAAAACTAAACATGTATAACTTTGAAGTAAAATACTATATTATTTTTGATAGTAACTTAATTTTAGTATAACTGTGAGTTAACTCAGAAACACATGGTATTATAAGTTATGTAACTTGGTGTATTTTAGGATTCTAAGCAAACCATTATTCTTTCTTCAAAGATTCTGTGGTTAAACAGTAAACTTCTATATCTGTACTCTCCTGTTCTGTTTTATTCTTTATATTGTGATATGCTGTTTTTAAGTAGTTTTAGGAGTTATATATAAACAGATAATTCTCTTGAATGAGCACTTACTTAATAAAAGGAAGGGGACAAAGGAACCCATTTCAGGGATACTAATGGCCAAAGGCCAGTTAAGACCAAACAACAATAAGACAACAGTATTTTAATTGGTCACTGAATGTTGATGAGAATTCAGTTATCATTATAAGCCTTTTATTAATTAAATTATTATTTGGTAGTCTTAATTAAAACAATAATTTTTCCTACATAATGAGTAAAGATATAAATGCTTAACATCAAGGGCATTTGAAATTAAGGTGTCATAATACATATTTTTTTTTATTGTGGCAAAAACAAATTTATTCTTAACAATTTTTAAGTGTACACTACAGTATTATTAGCATATGTACATTGTACAATGGATCTTCAGAACTTTTTCATCTTACATAACTGAAACTCTGTACTCCTTGAATAACTCCGTGTTTCCTTGTTTGCCCCACCTCCATTTGTCCCTGGTAACTACTATTCTACTTTTTGTTTCAATGAGTTTGATTATTTTAGATACTGCATATAAGTGGAATCGTGCAGTATTTGTCTTTTATGATTGGCTAATTTCACAGCATAATAATAATACACACACACACCACAAATACACACTGCATTTTGTTTATTCATTCATCCATTGATGGACATTCATGTTTCTTCCACACTTTGGCAGTGAATAATGCTGGCAGTGAATATGGGTAACTTATTTTTAAAGGCTATATTGATTTTTCTGTTGCAGATATATTCGACTTTATGGGAGAAAATTTAGCAAAGAAGATCATGTTCTTTTTATCAAGTTATTGTATGAGCTGGTATCAATTCCAAAACTGGAAATCAGCATGATGCAGGGATTTGCCCGTCTCTTGATCAACTTGTTAAAGTAAGTACATTTCCTGTGATTTCTGCTAACAGTTTTTGGTTTGTTTCTTCAAGGTTTTAGGCAACAAGAGCTAAGTGTTCTTTGGTAAGAAGACCCAAGTCCCAAATTGCCAGTTTGCAAAAAGTTTGCAGAAAATTTTATCATAAGTTTAAGCCATACGTGTTAATTAATTAAAATTCTGTCTCCTTGTGAGGCCTTCTGTTTTGTAGCACACATGGAAATATATGTTACTTGATGTTCGTTTAAACTAGTTTTCTTCCATTATGTATGTGGTAAGATCCTGAAGGAGTCATGAATCATTTATTCTTTACGCCTATGTACCCAGCACAATGCTGGAAACAATTAAATACTCCATAGATAACATGGGAAAATAGGGTATTCATTGGCAGTAATGGTGGCACAAATTTAAATGCCCCCTTTTACCTGGTGCTCTTTGAGGTTTGAGCAGCAGTAAGAATCTGGTGCATTGTTCTTCCTACTACTGCATTCTACCAGTGAGTTTCTGTGGATAGGGAAAAGCAAGGCCCACCAGGATGACAGCAGCATTTAACAACTGTCATCCCTGTGTAGTAGGTGTAATATAAACAGCTGTGCATGAATATATACATATATGGTTACTTTTTTTTATTAGGAAAAAGGAACTTCTTTCAAGAGATGATTTGGAGTTACCTTGGAGACCACTTTATGACATGGTGGAAAGAATACTATATTCCAAGACAGAGCACCTGGGATTAAATTGGTTTCCTAAGTAAGTTTCCTTTTAAAGTACTTCTTTGGGAGCACTTGGGGCTTTTTAGAATTTGGTCATAATTGAGAAATGATTGGGTTATTTGAGATAAGCAAGTAGACATTTCAGTGTGCTCATTTCTTTGTAACTTCACTCTCAAAACAATTTATTGCCCTCTTTAAACTGTATCTGAAGTTACACTTAAGAATTTCCTACCAGGATATCTGACAGCTAACATTACCATACTGGCCAAAGACAGCAGATTTTTGTTTGAAATCTAGTATTTTGTCATTGAAAGTAATGCACATTTGGCATTCTTCATTATATGTTCACATGTGTTTTAATTCTTCAAGTAAAATGAATGCCTCAAGAAGAGGAGCTTGGCATATTCCAGAGGGTACCCACATCCCAGTTAAAGAAACGTTAGTTTCACTGACTGTTCATGGAATGCAAGCTATTCAAATGCACAACTTCTTGGTTTAGACACACTAGGATGCAGTGTTTAAACATACTAGGATTATGAATGTCTGGTTGATTATACCTTCTTTTATGTACATCCTAACTCTTCCAGATCTCTAATTCTGGTACCTTTTGTATTTTATTATGAGTTTACAGAATACAATATGATGATCTGTCCTTTTTTGGTAAATAGTGATTTTTTTTTTAAAAGATTATTTATTTGGCACAGAGAGAGACGGCGAGAGAGGGAATACAAGCAGGGGGAGTGGGAGAGGGAGAAGCAGGCTTCCCGCAGAGCGGGGAGCCCAATGTGGGGCTTGATCCCAGGACCCCGGGATCATGACCTGAGCCGAAGCCAGATGCCTAATGACTGAGCCACCCAGGCGCCCCTGTAAATAGTGATTTTAGACTTGACTGCAAAGTATCGTTCTTCCTTGTTAACAAGGCTTTATCTATTTATGATCCAGCTCTTAATTTTCTCAGTCTTGGTATATTTGGCTTAAAATACTCTTAAACTTTGGCTCATTCGGTTAAATGTCCAACTCTTGAACTCAGGGTCGTGGGTTCAAGCCCTGCATTGGGCTACTTCAAAAAAACAAAACCTCCTTTTTTTTTCTTTTCGTTTCTTTTTCTTTTTTTTTTTTGACTTCAGATATGTTTATTATAATCTTATACAGTTTACATAAATTTGGACTTGTATTTATTTGGGCTCAGTTATAACATAGCATAATAAAAATCTAAGCACTGGTCCTCTGAAATAAAGCAGGCAATCACCATTCAATAAACATGATTTAATTTGTATAAAAGGGTTAAGTTTACAACTAAACTTTTATAAAAAGTTTAGCATAAGTACATCATTACACTTTCTTTGTATGCAGAAATATACATCTCTGCCACTATACAAGAAAACTCTAATTAAAGAGTTCACAAGGTTTCACCACACACACATGCACGTGCTTGCGCGCACACGTGCACATATACATACATATATATACACACACAGCATTCATTAGGCTTGTGTCAAAAGGGTCATTTCTGGCCAAAAGACTTCATTTAAGTAACTGAATACTGGATTCTTCTAGTATTCACGCTCCACCTTTGAAAAAAGGCAAAGTCTGTTTTAATTGGGAAATTCCTTACAATTTTAATGTTTTCACTCCTCATGGTGGAAATAGTATATAAAGAAAATCTTCCAACTGCAGAAAGGGCATTTAAAAGTCTTTTTCATAAATAACTAATATCACAGTCCAGGTCAGAGAACACCCTGGGGAAGATGGTCATTCTTAGTTTTCTTTCCATTTTTAAAAAATGTCCATTCAGTTTGTTGTTCCTCTTGTGAAATGGTTGAAAAATAAGTTCAGGGGGTGCCTGGGTGGCTCAGTCGGTCAAGCGTCTGCCTTCGGCTGGGGTCATGATCTCAGCGTCCTGGGATTGAGCCCCGCATCTGGCTCCCTGCTCAGCAGGCAGTCTGCTTCTCCCTCTGCCCCTCCCCCTCCACTCATGTGCACAGGGGCTTTCTCTCTCCCTCTCACAAAAAATAAATAAATAAAATCTTAAAAAAGTAAGTTCAGTGATCCTGTGAATTCGTTGTTCTTGTGCAAAGAAAAGGAAAGTCATGAACACCATTTATTCAGCCACAGAGCGCTTTGCTGTCATTTGATATTAATTCAGAAGAGAATTCAGAAGCCTGCAAGGACAGGATACTGATGTCCGTGTTTAGGGTGGTCAACAGTGCCCTGGATGCCTGGCTCTGTCCGGGTCGCTAGTAGTATGGGCTGACAATAGTGGGGTGCGAGTCCAGGGTGATCTGCAGGTCCAAGATGCCTTGTTGCAGGATTTCCATCTTGCTCACCTTCTTGTTCTGGGGGATGCTGGGCACCAGCTCTGTGAGTTTGGAGTAGCAGTCGTTCATGTTGTACAGAAGGCTCATCGGGTCCTCCACCAGGGCTTTGCTCCAGGAGATGACCAGGCTGTGGTCCAAAAGACTTTTTTCTAACAGGCCTCATTGCACTAAAGGCTTTCATGCTGATGTGTGAGGAAGGAGAGACCAGGAAGGAGCCGACTGCCCAGGGGCTCATGCCTCCGCCACCTGTGGATCTTCCTGGGCTTTCTGTGCTCCACCCCGGGCTGGGCTCAGAATCTTCTTTGTTATAAGTAGGCTCCACAACTCAGGGCTTGAACCCGCGACACTGAGATCAACACCTGAGCTGAAATCAAGAGTCCGAGGCTTAACTGACTGACCCACCCAGGCGCCCCTAAGAAAAAACTCTTAAAACTATTTGTAATCGAGGTTTATTTTTAGGAAAGTTTCTACAATTTTCTTCAGTTTACCTCTCCTCTCATTACCTAGAGTTGTTTGTCATACACATATGTACTTATTCCTGAAGAGCACCATTTTACACACTTGTGTTATTTTCCTCTTTCTTTTTTATAAATTAAGTCCTTAAAGATTTATTTCTGTGATTTCTCTCTCAGTTCTAGTCATGTTTTCATTATTTCATGACTTCTTATAGCCTCCCCAGTTCAGTTATTTTAATCCATGATCATTTCTCAGGCTTCACAGAAGTCAGAAGCCTTTGTTATACCCTTACCATAGAATTTTTTGAAAATGACTGCAGATGGCAGACTTTAAAAGATTTTTAGGTCATAAGTAAATAGTGAAATGATATAAATGAAAAGAGTTTTAAAAAAAATGACTGTAGGTGATCCTGAACTTAGGACGTAATTGGTTTTTGGACAATGGTCACAAATAGGGTGGTGAGAGATCATTTCTTTCCTGAAGATTTTATGGGTTAAAATGACGAAACCCATTTCAACCATAAAAAGAGAAAATTCATCATGAAGCTAAATGGTACATCTTCAAATGTATTTTTACAAGTATTATTATGAAAACCCAAAATTTAGCATAAAAGCTTTGTTGTAAAGATTCTGAGTATTAATTCTGCTGGAAGAAACATGGCACGGATTGGATTGACTGGGCCTTCTTAAAATATGAGGCCGTTGAGGCTTTGACTGGAATCACAGCTTCATAGATTTCAGGGACCTTTAAACTGTGTTCAAAATAAGTTATCTTTTTGAAATTTTCCTGGCTGGTTTTTTGGCTGCCTCAGAAAATCTTTGGTAAATGCTAGGGGAGAAAAGTCAGCTTCTTCAATAATTTCTTCTCCAGTTAGGTCCTTTACTTGCTTTTTTGTGACCAACCTCCTTACTTCCTGCCCTGAGGTGTATCTTTTCAAAGGCAGCTGCTTCCTTTTAAGTCCTGCATGGTCACTAATACATATCTATGGCTTTCTTCTTTCCTGGAAATTGTGTCAGAGCTTATCACTGTTCATGTCAGTCACTGCTTATAGTTCAACCCTGCATCTGGATACTCTGCTTATTACCATGTCTTTTCCTGAAGCATCCCGTCATTCTTGCTCTCATGGAAACCTCCTTCCTTAGAAGTTTGACCATGGCTGTTCTTGGTCTTTTGAAGAAACATCGTGTCTTTGCTGAAATAAATCTTTGCTTGGTTTAGAGCAGGCAGCACCCCCTTTTGTATTGTGTAGTTATTTTCAAATGAAATTTGTAAATAATTTACTTATATTCTTTATCTGTACTCAATGACAAAAATAAATATAAATAATGTCTTTTTTTAATTTAAATTCAATTAATCAACATATAAGATATTACTGGTTTCAGAGGTAGAAGGCAGTGATTCATCAGTCTTACATAATACCCAGTGCTCATTACATCACAATCCCTTCTTAATGTCCATCACCCAGTTAGCCCATCCTCCCACCCCGCTCCCCTCCAGCAATCCTCAGTTTGTTTCCAATGATTAAGTCTCTCTTATGGTTTCTCTCCCTGTCTGATATCGTCTTGTTTTATTTTTTCCTCTCTTTCCCTATGATGCCCTGTTTTATTTCTTAAATTCTACATATAAGTGAGATCATACAATAATTGTCTTTCTCTGAATGACTTACTCCACTTAGCATAATACCCTGTAGTTCCATCCACATCGTTGCAAATGGCCAAATTTCATTTTTTGGGGGATGGGTGAGTAGTATTCCGTTGTATACATATATCACATCTTCTTTATTCATCTGTCGATGGACATCTGGGCTCTTTCCATAGTTTGGCTATTGTGGACATTGCTGCTATAAACATTGGAGTGCAGATGCTCCTTCAGATCACTACATTTGTATCTTTGGGGTAAAT